GTGAATGTGCTGGCACAGCGAAGGTTAACCATCTGGGATCTCGGCGGCGTCCTCCCAGCTGAGTAGAAAACCTTGACTTTTTCCTTTGGATCCAGAATGTTTTTCTTTGAGCGTTGCTAATTGTGTCTTTGATCATTTTAATAGGAAAATCTCCACCTGTACACAGATTTCTCGAAGATTGTTCCCGTATGCCTTGGCACAGACAATCTGTGTTTTCAGCATGAATTTTACAGCTTTGACATAAAAGAAGCTGGCTTCAAGTGACACATCGCAGGGCCCGCTCAAACCCGCCGAGGGAAGAGGGCAGGCCATTCTAGAAACACATTTTTAATCATGAAATGACTACCATATGTACGGCCGAGCGAGACGCCGAAAAAAGAGAAATCCTGCAAAGTGGAGTCCAGACGGAATATCGCAGAGCGGCTGAGACGGCACATTGTTTTCCTCTATGGAAGGGAAATCTAATGACGGGGTTGGCAGGAGGTGTCGGGGAAGGAACAACGAATGAGGAGGAGGAATTCTGCTCAACACCTTACGCTGCTCCGGGGCACAAACGTGTACGACTCCGCGGGGTCACCCCTTCATTGCCGGGTGGAACCACATTAACGAGGGGAAGATTCAATACAGCGTCCATGGTATCCTCAACCATGGAATCCCAACCAATAGAATCTCATGGAGTCCTCAATGATGGAATCCCAACCGATAGAATCTCATGGAGTCCCAACCTATAGAATCTCATGGAATCCTCAACGATGGAATCCCAACCGATACGTAGAATCCCAACCTATAGAATCTCATGGAGTCCCAACCTATACGTAGAATGCCATGGAATCCCAACCTATAGAATCTCATGGAGTCCCAACCTATACGTAGAATCCCATGGAATCCCAACCTATAGAATCTCATGGAGTCCCAACCTATACGTAGAATCCCATGGAATCCCAACCTATAGAATCTCATGTAATCCTCAACGATGGAATCCCAACCTATAGAATCTCATGGAGTCCCAACCTATACGTAGAATCCCATGGAATCCCGACCTATAGAATCTCATGTAATCCTCAACGATGGAATCCCAACCGATATGTAGAATCCCATGGAATCCCGACCTACAGAATCTCATGTAATCCTCAACGATGGAATCCCATGGAATCCCAACCTATACATAGAATCTCATGTAATCCTCAACGATGGAATCTCATGGCATCCCAACCTACAGAATCTCATGGAATCCCAACCTATACATAGAATCCCATGTAATCCCAAATTATAGAGTCTCATGTAATCCTCAACGATGGAATCTCATGGAATCCCAACCTACAAAATCTCAAGGAATCCCAACCTATACATAGAATCCCATGAAATCCCGACCTATAGAATCTCACGTAATCCTCAGCGATGAAATCTCATGGAATCCCAACCTACAGAATCTCATGGAGTCCTCAATGATGGAATCCCAACCGATACGTAGAATCCCATGGAATCCCGACCTATAGAATCTCATGGAGTCCCAACCTATACATAGAATACCATGGAGTCCCAACCTATAGAATCTCATGTAATCCTCAACGATGGAATCTCATGGAATCCCAACCTATACATAGAATCTCAACATGGAATCTATGGAATCCTCAACGATGGAATCTCATGGAATCCCAACCTATAGAGTCTCATGTAATCCTCAACGATGGAATCTCATGGAATCCCAACCTACAGAATCTAATGGAATCCCAACCTATACATAGAATCCCATGATAATCCCAAACTATAGAGTCTCATGTAATCCTCAACGATGGAATCTTATGGAATCCCAACCTACAAAATCTCAAGGAATCCCAACCTATACATAGAATCCCATGAAATCCCAAACTATAGAGTCTCATGTAATCCACAACGATGGAATCTTATGGAATCCCAACCTACAAAATCTCATGGAATCCCAACCTATACGTAGAATCCCATGGAATCCCAACCTATAGAATCTCATTGAATCCCAACCTATACGTAGAATCACATGGAATCCAAACCTATAAGTAGAATCCCATGGAATCCCGACCTATAGAATCTCAACCTATACATGGAATCCCATGTAATCCCGACCTATAGAATCTCTTGGAATCCCAACCTATACATAGAATCACATGGAATCCCGACCTACAGAATCTCATGGAATCCGCAACGATGGAATCTCATGGAAACCCAAGCTATAGAATCTCAGGGAAACCCCACCTATACGTAGAATCCCATGTAATCCCGACCTATAGAATCTCATGGAATCCAACCTATACATAGAATCTCATGGAATCCCAGCCAGTAGAATCTCATGGAATCCCAACCTATATGTAGAATCTCCTGGAATCCCAACCAGTAGAATATCCTGGAATCCCAACCAGTAGAATCTCATAGGGATTCAGAATGACACCATTCATGGACAGACTGCAGAGGAGTAGGCCCCATCTTCAGGCAGTCATTGTCTGTAAGGACAGAGCGGGGGTTGGGATAGACTGTGATGATTTTTTGGGGAGTCCCTATTCCTGCGGTAACACAGGAATTATTATACTGCACATTGTAAAGTCAATGAAAGATGATTTTGTACCCACCTAGGCTGTGACAGATTTGTACCCACCTAGGCCAACCGCCCCCCCCCCCCACTCCCTCCCCCCCATTGGCCTTCTTATCACACTAACCACACTGCAGTGCTCTGTGCCAGCAGAGTTGAGTAACAGCCACACCCCACATCAAGACTGTCCTGTATTGCAGGGAGGGGGCGTGTCTGACCGGGCTCAGAAGTCCTCCAACCTCATCTCCAACCAACTCATGTACTTTTTTTCCTCCAATCAGCTGCAGGTTGGGTCATTCCTTCCCTGCAGCTCTGTAAATGAAGAATGACCCAGCACGCAGATCATTGGAGCAAAAAAAAAAAAGAGAGTGTGAGTTTGTCTGAGATGAGTTTGGAGGTCCCCTGCGCTCCCCTCTAATTATTACTGAGTGCTGATTACGGAGTGCTCTAGGTGTGACTCGGAGGACGTCTCTCTGATTGCTCTTCTATTTCTGGGACATTAAGGGGTTAACTTCATCCCGAGTTTCGATTTACCAGCTGCAGAGCGCGGCTCCTATCACCCAATTTCCAGATGCCGTCAAACACACATTTTCAGGCCCCCAGGCGGGGGGTGGGGCCTCCATATGTAACCTAATTACTGCGGTTTATCAGGGAAAGTGATCAGGATTTATTGAAATGAAAGAATGTGATGATCTCAAGTCAACACAGAAAGTCAAATCTGGGTGTGGCTGCGGAGATCCCGAGACCCGGGACACGGCGTTACCTTCATGTCCAATGGCTGCAGTCTGGAGTTCCACTTTAAGGGAGCACGGCCGGGACAACCATGTCTGTGTGTGTGTGCCGACTGCCAATCCCGGGAATGAGACGTACAGATCTCTGATTGTTAAACTGGGGGGGGGGGGGATTTACTAAAACTGGAGAGTGCAGAATCTGGTGCAGTTGTGTGAGCCAATCAGCTTCCAGGATTTATTGCCAAACAGGGGCGGACTGATAGCTCTTGGGGCCCCCGGGCAATAGGGGATCATGGGGCCCCTGTGCACTTGCCCAAATTCAAAAAAGCCTATGAAAAAGGTACCAGGGGTATCTCACGGGGCCCCCTACTGACCCATGGCCCTCGGGCAGTGCCCGAGTTTCCAAATGGTCAGTCCGCCCCTGCCCTTACCATTCGCCGAACACACAAACGGCCGGTGTTCAAGTCAGCTCAGACATTGAGGCCATCACTAGTCAGCAGGGTCAGATTTGGTTCAGGGCTGAGAGGCTCTGCAGATTAGTTCTTTGATACCTCCCCCTGATCTAGAACTTTGGAGAAGATTCTAGAAGCAGTGGACGGGGGTGAGGAGAGGCTGTTCTGCATACTCAAGGGACTCTGGCCAATCCCCAAGCAGGAGACTTGGCATGGGACCAGAGCAGCCCTTAGCAGGGAGAGTCTGAGTGGAAGATGTGAGGAGGGCTGAGATTCAGGAGTCTGGATGGGGGCCCAGTGGGAAAGGGCCTACCTACAGGCTGGGACTTGGACAGGAGGATGGCTCAGTCTCACTGGCCCCCAGAGCGAGGACCACCTGTGGAGCCAGGAAAGGAGCCAGCCCAGCAGAAGGCCTGAAGGCAGAAGGAGTGAGTGATCCTACACCCCCTGAGCCAGTTATGGGGAAAGGAGCACTCTGGTGGGAAACCTGACTAGCTCCTTACCCGGGACTGTTCCAAATGGTCAGTCCACCCCAGTTGCCAAAGCTTCATGGAACAAGCTGAAGGTAGAAGCTGATTGGCTGCCATGCACAGCGGCTCCAGATTCTGAACTCTCCAGTTTTAGTAAATCTCCCCCATTGTCTTCTCATCGTAGAGGCAGGAAGTTGTTTTTATTGCTGTGCCCCCACTGGGGAGATTTGCCCTCTATGTGTCCTGGTGTCATCAGAACTCTCAGTGATGGAAGAACCCAACATTTTAGAGTTGACACCACAACAGGAACGGAGGGGAAATCTTCCAATGGGGACACTGACTTTGGAGAGATTTCCTTTGACTTTCTGTGTCTCTGTGGCAGGAAATGGAGGTCATTCTTCTCAATGGGACACAGATGGCAACAACCAATCCTGATGAGGATTTAACCCTTCCATACTCAGGTCTGGATAGGACTGACATCTTAGTAAATGTTGTGCCCCATGTTTTCTCCGATGACAGGACACACACAGAGGGTTTCATTCCCCAACACGAGGATCCTTCTTTCCAGGAAAGTGACGGTTATTTTCAGCTACTTCCAATGAGATCAGATTATGTCCCATGGCTGAGACTATGGAAAGGTCTGGAATAGGGAGGACACTACAGCTGGAGAGACTTCTGGAGCATTCATAGACGGCCCGGCAGTCCGGCACCAACACTATTTCCACCTTTTATCTGACTTTATCACGACACTTCTAGGAAATCAGGAAGAAAAAAAAATCAAACTTACCGACCCATACAGCTCGCCTCTCTCGTTCATTCCCAGGTAGAGACCAGAGTCCACACCACGGATACTGACCAGACCGACTGCCAGGCTAATGAATTCCAAAATTCCTAAAAGACGATGAAATTGATACAATGAGCCGACAGACAGAAAACACAGAGAAAGCTGCAAAACGTTCATAATTCATCAGTGACAGTTATGACTTTTTCATCAGGTCAATGACCTTCAATCTCCAGGGGGTCACATACAGACAGATAGGGGAGTCAGTCAAGTTCTGACAATCGGTTTTATTCAGATTTTATCCACCATGTCTCAGGGTTAGAGAACTCCTTCTTCAGGGCCTGAGATGCTGCAGCAGTCTCTATGTGTGTGTGAGACGTCTCCCCATGGGGAACACTGGGTCTGACCTCTTCCTGCAGATGGGAGACGTCTCCCCATGGGGAACACTGGGACATCTGACCATTCTTCTCTGCAGATGGGAGACGTCTCCCCATGGGGAACACTGGGACATCTGACCATTCTTCTCTGCAGATGGGAGACGTCTCCCCATGGGGAACACTGGGACATCTGACCATTCTTCTCTGCAGATGGGAGAACGTCTCCCCATGGGGAACACTGGGACATCTGACCATCCCTCTCTGCAGATGGGAGAGACGTCTCCCCATGGGGAACACTGGGACATCTGACCATCCCTCTCTGCAGATGGGAGACGTCTCCCCCATGGGAACACTGGGACATCTGACCACTGCAGATGGGAGACGTCTCCCCATGGGGAACACTGGGACATCTGACCATTCCTTCTCTGCAGATGGGAGACGTCTCCCCATGGGGAACACTGGGACATCTGACCATCCCTCTCTGCAGATGGGAGACGTCTCCCCATGGGGAACACTGGGACATCTGACCATCCCTCTCTGCAGATGGGAGACAGGTCTGGGACATCTGACCATCCTTCCCCCACTCTCTCATACAGGGAACATGGGACATCTGACCATCCTTCTCTCTCTGCAGATGGGAGACGTCTCCCTATGGGGAACACTGGGACATCTGACCATCCTTCTCTGCAGATGGGAGAGGGAGACGTCTCCCCCATGGGGAGCCTCTCATACAGGGAACATGGGGACATCTGACCATCCGTCTCTGTAGATGGGAGAGGCCTCCATACAGGGAACATGGGACATCTGACCATCCCTCTCTGCAGATGAGGAGACGTCTCCTACATGGGAACATTGGGACATCTGACCATCCCTCTCTGTAGATGGGAGACGTCTCCCCTATGGGGAACATTGGGACATCTGACCATCCTTCTCTGTAGATGGGAGAGGCTCCATACAGGGGGAACATGGGGACATCTGACCATCCTCTCTGCTATGGAGACGTCTCTCTACATGGGGAACACTGGGACATCTGACCATCCCTCTCTGCAGATGTGAGACGTCCCCCTATGGGGAACATTGGGACATCTGACCATCCTTCTCTGCAGATGGAGAGGCTCTCCGTACATGGGAACACTGGGACATCTGACCATCCCTCTCTGCAGATGGAGAGGCCTCCTATGGGAACACTGGGACATCTGACCATCCTTCTCTGCAGATGGGAGACCGTCTCCCTGCAGGGAACATGGGGACATCTGACCATCCTTCTCTGTAGATGTCTCCCCCATGGGGAACATTGGGGCATCTGACCATCCTCTCTGTAGATGGGAGAGGCCTCCATATGGGGAACATGGGACATCTGACCATCCTTCTCTGCAGATGGGAGACGTCTCCTACAGGGAACATGGGGACATCTGACCATCCCTCTCTGCAGATGTGGAGACGTCCCCCTATGGGGAACACTGGGACATCTGACCATCCTTCTCTGCAGATGTGGAGGCCTCCGTACAGGAACATGGGGACATCTGACCATCCCTCTCTGCAGATGGGGAGACGTCTCCTATGGGGAACACTGGGGACATCTGACCATCCTTCTCTGCAGATGGAGAGGCCTCCCATACAGGGAACATGGGACATCTGACCATCCTTCTGTAGATGGAGACGTCCCCCTATGGGGAACATTGGGACATCTGACCATCCTTCTCTGTAGATGTGAGACGTCCCCCTATGGGGAACATTGGGACATCTGACCATCCTTCTCTGCAGATGGGAGAGGCCTCCGTACAGGGAACATGGGGACATCTGACCATCCTTCTCTGCAGATGGAGAGGCCTCCGTACAGGGAACATGGGAACATCTGACCATTCTCTGCAGACGGGAGAGGTCTGACACCCACCCATTAAGGCATTTTGATATATGCATAACTCCTCCCACTGCTTGCACCAGGACTGGGGACTCTTGAGAAGATTACTGAGGTAGGGTGCTGTAATGTTTTCAGGAAGCCATGTACAGCACCCTGCTGGCCCCTCCCACCTGCCATGACCCACCTGCATTGCATAGAGAAGCACAGAGGCCCACAAGGTGTAAAATAAGGTGTGTAAAGAGAATGAAAAGGTTTTATGTAATCATTTGATTAGGATGTTGATGAGGGGGGAGGGGGGAGCAGGTAATATATGTAAATCTAGGCAGGTTTGCAGAGTACAGAGCCTGCGGAGAATCATGTTCTGTGCCAGGAATCTGGTTTGTGATTGGTAAACAGAAGATGGATATCTCGCTTGCCTCTGGTGAAGATCTGAGAATGATATGAAGAGGAAAATTCCAATTCCTCTTACCTAACATATAGATGGATTGCATACGACAGATCAGTTCAGGTCCATAAAGCATCCAAAGTTTGGCAATTCTATTACTGAGAGCGAGTTGGGGGAAGGGCAGGCAGCAAATCTCTGTCCTTAAACCGCCATGGGTTCCTTAAAGGAAACAAGCGTCCAATGAAGACAAAGAAATCAACATCGCATGCGTCTTCCTCAGCAGGAATCAGCTGTAGGCTTTTAAAAGGGCGGCTCATTGGTCAGCACTGGGGCTCTCAGTTCAAATCCCACCCAGGACTCTATCTGCATGGAGTTTGTATGTGGTTTCCTCCAGTTACTCTGGTAAGATAAGTGTCTACACTGTGACATATTTGTGATACATTGGCTGATACCATTCCCTCCACATCTCACTTCTGGGCCTTGATCACCAAGATTGGTGTATGCGCTCCATGCAACATCCCGGGGGATTATGGGAAAAGTCTATAATGAGACATTTTGTTTTTTCTTTTAGGAGTTTTATGTGAAAGGAACATAAAATCATCCAGACGGGGAGGATGGGGTGAGGAGGACGGGTGAACGGGCGACTCCTGGCTGAGTGTGCACATGTGCCCCAAGGTTGATGTCCTCTAATTACTGAGAACACGGCCGGCTGCACATGTGCCCTCCAGTAAGTACTTTGTACTAATTAAAGAGCATGACTGGAGAACAGCGGGGATCTGACATTCCTTCCCCGACACAGGCACAACAATTCCTGCTCCTCCAATTCCTGCTCCTCCAATTCCTCCTCCTACAATTCCTGCTCCTACAATTCCTCCTCCTCCAATTCCTGCTCCTCCTCCTCCAATTCCTGCTCCTACAATTCCTCCTCCTCCAATTCCTGCTCCTCCAATTCCTCCTCCTACAATTCCTGCTCCTCCAATTCCTGCTCCTACAATTCCTCCTCCTCCAATTCCTGCTCCTCCAATTCCTGCTCCTCCAATTCCTGCTCCTACAATTCCTCCTCCTCCAATTCCTGCTCCTCCAATTCCTGCTCCTCCAATTCCTGCTCCTCCAATTCCTCCTCCTCCAATTCCTCCTCCTCCAATTCCTCCTCCTCCAATTCCTCCTCCTACAATTCCTCCTCCTACAATTCCTGCTCCTCCAATTCCTGCTCCTCCAATTCCTGCTCCTCCAATTCCTCCTCCTACAATTCCTCCTCCTCCAATTCCTGCTCCTCCAATTCCTCCTCCTACAATTCCTGCTCCTCCAATTCCTCCTCCAATTCCTGCTCCTCCAATTCCTGCTCCTCCAATTCCTGCTCCTCCAATTCCTCCTCCTACAATTCCTCCTCCTCCAATTCCTCCTCCTCCAATTCCTCCTCCTCCAATTCCTCCTCCTCCAATTCCTGCTCCTCCAATTCCTCCTCCTACAATTCCTGCTCCTACAATTCCTCCTCCTCCAATTCCTGCTCCTCCAATTCCTGCTCCTCCAATTCCTCCTCCTACAATTCCTGCTCCTCCAATTCCTGCTCCTACAATTCCTCCTCCTACAATTCCTGCTCCTCCAATTCCTCCTCCTCCAATTCCTCCTCCTCCAATTCCTGCTCCCACCGTTCCCACTAAATAGAAGCCGCCATCATGACTTCCCCAACTGGTCACTGACTTCTGTTCTGTAGTCTGGAGGGAAGGTTACTGTCTGTGGGGCCTCATTTCATCCAGGATGTACCAGACATTCATCAAAGGGGACAAGTCTGCTCTTCATTTCGGATCTTCCCACTTCCAGGCCCAAAAATATGATGCCAGATGCTTTTCACAGGCAGTCCCTTTGTACCCAATCTGAATTCATGACCTGGAAAAACATGGAAGGATCGAGCATTGAACTCCCTGGATCACAACAAAGGATCATGCATTGAACTCCCTGGATCACAACAAAGGATCATGCATTGAACTCCCTGGATCACATTGAGGGGTCGTGCATTGAACTCCCTGGATCACATGGAGGGGTCGTGCATTGAACTCCCTGGATCACAACGAAGGATCGTGCATTGAACTCCCTGGATCACATGGAGGGGTCGTGCATTGAACTCCCTGGATCACAACGAAGGATCATGCATTGAACTCCCTGAATCACAACGAAGGATCGTGCATTGAACTCCCTGGATCACATGGAGGGATTGAGCATTGAACTCCCTGGATCACAACGAAGGATCATGCATTGAACTCCCTGGATCACAACGAAGGATCGAGCATTGAACTCCCTGGATCACAACGAAGGATCGTGCATTGAACTCCCTGGATCACAACGAAGGATCGTGCATTGAACTCCCTGGATCACAACAAAGGATCGTGCATTGAACTCCCTGGATCACAACGAAGGATCATGCATTGAACTCCCTGGATCACAACGAAGGATCGTGCATTGAACTCCCTGGATCACAACGAAGGATCGTGCATTGAACTCCCTGGATCACAACGATCGTGCATTGAAACTCCCTGGATCACAACGAAGGATCGTGCAT